AAAGTGAGTCCGAGTTCAACCATGAAAGAGGCATAGACTACGGAGTACTCCGTAACGAAAATAATGAAAGAAGAGCAAGAAAAGCAAAAGTAAAATGCATAGTCGGTTCGTATTGGAATATCTATATATACTAATTAGGTAAATCCCATGTACTCCGTACAAACGGGAGAATCTGCATCAGAAACAAAAGAGGTATCATGTACAACATGCGTACAACATGCGACTCTATACTCCCGACAGTACCAAGTACACATAGTAGATCAGCAAGTCGGGGAAATGCAATAGCAGAAAAAAAAAGGGGCTCAAAGACTCAATACCACGCCAGAACACAAGGCCATGGATGCAAAAATAGACAAAATGGTAAAAATCCGCTGCAAAAGATCGCAGGAAAATGAAAATGAAGATGAAGGGTCGCAGCAGTATGTGAAGCGTAGTAAAAGATAAACAAAGGTTCGAGCAATGCCCGGCGTTTCACGTGTCGTATCAAGAGAAGAAGTAGGTCGAGGCGGGAAAAAAAGGTATATGTATCGAAAGTCGGAAGAATCTCAAGTTGGGTTTCGGTTCGAAGCAATCGATGCCGACAATCACCCGAGCATCACAGCCGCCAGAGCAGTAAAGGTCAACCCGATAGCCATGCCAATCCACGGGGTCTGGCCGAGGGAACCCTCACTGCGCGCCTGGAGGACATAGCGAGCAGCGAGCAAGCGCAACTCATCGGACGGCAGATCACGGTCAGCGAATGGAGCGAACTGTTCCCGCTGAGCGAGTTCTGGTAATGAGACGGCGGGCGAGTTGTGCGCAAAGTCCGAGGAGAGGCTTACACCTGAGGCGGGTTGTTGTGAGTCGGCGAGGACGATGGTCGGGGCGAGGAAGGCCAGGAAGGTGGATGGTTTCATTGTGGAGAGTTATAGATGTATAGTATGGGAATAGACTGGCGCGCAAACCCTTTGTGTTATTGCCTATGAGGGACAAGCAACGCCAAGCTGGCTGGTGCGGGTCGTGGGGGACGGGGGTCTTGAGTTGGCGAGGCAACAGTGCAGATGGTGGTGGAGAAGTTGGAAGCGACAGTGTTACTCGAATGAGTCTCTTCACGAATATAAGATGCGATGGTCTCAGAACATGCCACTTAGGTTCGAGTGGGTTGCTGTGTTGGATTGTCGCAGTCAGGCAACCGGGGGAGTAGGGGGCCAAACACGGTAGAGGGGAGTGACCAGGGTCGCCTTTACTCTCTCACTTGTCAGAATCCAACTCACTCTTAGCCGTAGAGGAGGATTGAAAGAGAAAACGAAGAAGAAGAAAAACCCTCAAAAACCGAAACAGCCCAGGGGGGAAAGGGAGATTAAGGGAAAATCAAGATGAAGCCAGTCAGGGCAAGGGCTTGATTGGCCGAGCCGCTCTTTGGCTTTCTTTGGCTCTCTTTGGCCCAGAATCTCTGGGCCGTCCACGAGTGGGGGCTGTCCCTGAATTATGTGGGTTCTGATTGGGTACCCGGTTTCCCGTGTCTGAGGCTATCCGTGTTGATTTATCCTTTAAAATCCTTTAATTTGCTGTGAGGGTGATTCAATAGTTTCATATTCGTATTTACAGATGCATTCATGTTGTATAGCATCCATAGTTCATAGTATAAATACAGTAAAATGACATTACATTCCGTCAAGTTCTAATTATAGCTCCAATACATCCTGAAGCTTAACGGACAGCGCCACAAATGATCGTCAATGCAGACGCGAAATTCGAGCGAATAGACGAGCACGCCCCGCATGCAGGATGACGACGCGCATATATTGGTGATACCAAAATCAAGATGTTTAGAACCCTTGCTCTTGGCATCGCGAACCAGGTCAAAGGATGCACCATCGATTTTCTAATGCTGGGTAGGGTGCCGAGGACGCGTTGCTTACACTGGTAGCGATCCAGCCATCAACCAGCCTTGATATCCGCTCTAATGCGAACCCGAGATTCTGTTCATGCTGTCCCTGCGCAAAAGCCCACCCAGCCTCAAAAATGAGCCGTCGAGATCAAAATGCCAATACGCAAAGAACACATTTCCAGGTTCAGGGGCCCGGCATGTTTTTGTCGATTTTGCAGTGCGCATAAGCTTTCGCGGTATTATCGGTGGGCGTATCTGTTGGTGTAGCTTCTCCGTGGGACTGCGACTCTTTAGATAGACTGGCCCGCAAGTTTTTCAGCCTGACCTGCTCTCGCGCTCTGCGAACTGCGAGGCGTATCTCGCTGGGTAAGGAATTGGTTTGGACTAAACAGTCCGCACAGGCGCGGCAATAATAACCGGATTGAGTGTTCTTCGACTCAACGAGTCGGCGCTTGCTGCTGGGGGCGGTGATCTCACCGCAGTGGACACAGGGGCTTTTCAAGACTCGGGGATTGCTTTGCGTACGAGTCGCTCTGAGCTTTTTAAGCGCTGCAATTTTGACGGTGCTGGGCAGGGCGTCTGTTTCGAGTAGGGAGCGTGTGCATGGCTGGCAATAGTAACCTGCCGCGGGATTTTGGGCTTCAACGAGCCTACGTTTGCTGCTGGAGGTGGTTTTGTCACCACAGTGCACACAGGGATATTCACCGCGGCTCTGTTTCATCTGTTTGGGAGATTCGGAATTGCTGGGGGACCTGGAAGGGGGGCGGGGCATGGGTTCTCTCTTCGAAACGTCTGATGCATTATGTTTTGAGGCGACAGTATGATCACGCCTACTCCGTATCTGTTTGCGGTACTTGAACGCTGCGAGATCTTGCTCGGTTGGAAGGTTACCGTGATGATTGACATGCCGAACGCATGTCCGGCAATGGAACCCAGCAGAAGGGTTATTCGTATCAATAAATTTACGGCTACTCCTCGGGGCAGTCATCTCCCCGCAGTGCCTGCATGGACTTATTCTGCTTGCCTCTCCACTCGCCCTGGCCAGTTTCCGCTGATTGATCGCTGCAAGCTGCTCCTCATTTGGTAGATGGCCGTGAATACGGGCGTTCCGAACACACGATTTGCAGTGCCAGCCACTGGAATAGTTGCCAGGTTCGACATGTCTTCTGGCCTTGGGGATAGTTTTTCCACCGCAGTGCGCGCAGAGCTCTGGTTCTTTGGCCGCAGAAGTTTCGTGACGACATTGTTGAGTCCACGATCCCTTGCCATGAGCCCGGAGAGTGCGTGCAGGCCTCAAGAGATCACTGAGCAAGCTCCGTAGCGAAAACGAAGCTTTGTTGGCATGGTGTGGAATTGTCGCAGACCAGCGATGTGTGCAATGGGTGTCGCGCAATTGAGAAAAGGATCTTAGGCGTTGTGTTATATTATGTCTTGTTTGCGGTCCATTGCGGAAGAATTGTGCATAGGATAGGCTGCATTGATATCCGAGAGGACGCAACGACATGGCGAAGGTTCGCGTAGCACCGGAACACTTGATTTGGCCTATGCAGGCATTGTAGAGGGAGGGCGTGCAGTTGAATTGGGCCGAATTGTGGTTTGTGCTCGACCGCAGTTGCTCTTGGGCATGGAGGATGTAGTGGTAGTCAAATACTTTGAACTCGACACGCGCAAACAAACTTCGTGGTACCTCGTCCAGGTAGCTAACTAGGGCTTGGCATTGTTGATGCCTTGGTTTCCAGGCTTACTTTGAAATTACTAAGCTTGATCACCCCAGGGCTCCAGGGCTGCGAGCCATCATAAAGCCACACGAAGCAAGAAATAGAGCGTACAATACAATTGGGTTCTAAGAAAGAGAGACTGAGAGGGCAAGGAATAGAACAGATGGTACAGTTAAACCCCTACTCCGTACTGAAGCCCTGTATAGACAAATATGGTTACGTGGCTATAGGCGAATAGACAGCTTTCATCTCTTTTGATATGCAGTATATAATCTATTAAGGGTTCAGGTCGAATCCTTCAGGAGAAAAAGGAAAAAACAACCCAGTTTATCTAGTTTTAGTGATTATCAAGTCAATAACCAAAAGGATTGCTGTAACAAGTTCGCTCGAATTTCTTTCCGTTCATCATAAGGTACCCTGGGTAGAGCGCTCAAAGCATCTCATCCCAGTTCGGTGTGACTGTGAACTTGCCAGACAATTGGCCCATAGACCAAACATGTTTTGGTGTGTCTTCCTCCGGCTCCGGTGGCGCCTTTGACAAGATGACGGCTTCCTGGACGAAACCAACCGGTGCTCCGCGATCCAACTCCATACTGATTCCACCCCAGTCTAGGGTCACACGGCCTGACTGGTGTACGTTCAATTTGCCGACACGGCCTGTGGGAAGAGTCCATGGTTGGCCGGCTGTGATGACGCTGTTGACTTTTGATTCGATTGGTTGGGTGTTTTCCACGATCTCCACGTCGTCGCCTGCTTCGCGCTTGATCGCCTTCTGGGGAGGTGCAGCTGCGGCCCCGGCTGCAGCCTCGTGTTGGTTGTCTTGGGCAGAACCGGCGATTCTGAGGTAGGGAGTCATCGGTGGGAATTGCATGAGGAACATTTGGCCATGTAGAGGGTTGTCTTCCTCCTGTCCTTCTTCCTGCTCTTCGCTCGGTTGGTGACCTTCCTGTCCTTCCACTGCGGCAGGTTTACCTCCAGCAGCTCCTTCGGCGGTTTCTGCTTCTGTGTTGGCCTTCTTTGACTCCTTGGGAACAAGAAGATCCCTGATGATAGCCAAATCTTCCATGTGTCGGTCATATTCGTCGATTTCCTCTTTAGTGTGAAGTAGGCTGCGTGGGTCTGGGATTTCTGGCTCAGGCGTGATTTGAGTCGATCGTAGTTCTGTCGTGCTCCTCTTTGTTGGGCTCATACTCTGAGCCGAGCGCACACGGACGTTATGCTCCGGAAGGAAGTCGTCGTCTTCTGCGTGTGGAATAGCATCCGGCATAGTTGTGTCGTCGTCTCGAGGTTCGGGTTTGACCTTGGTAGGTGTACGACCGACATCATTCGCAGCTTTCTCCTTCTCTGCTTTTTTGCGGAGATCGGCAGTTCTACTTGTGCTAGATTCCATGTTGACGCTGATGACTCTTTCCTTGTGTTCATGCCGCTCAAGACGGATAGGACGAAGCCCGCCGCTTGACCTGCTGGCTTGCTTGCCCTTGATATCCTTCGGCGTATCCCAATCCTCCTCGTCGCTATCGAGGTTGATATGATCGATGCTGACACGGAGTTCATTCTCTTCGTCGTCCGAAGAGTCATATGCGCGGCCACGGTTGCCCCCGGTAAGACCGGATCGATTGTATCCTGAGCCTGCGCCGCCAGGGCCTCCCCCATATCCTCCGCCTCCACCTCCGCCGCCAAAACCACCAGGGCCTCGTTTGCCGCCTCGTCCACCAAATCCACTCATTCCCATAGCCATGGGTCCGCCACGGCCACGGAACCCAGCACGACGGGCAGTACCACCACGGCCACGCTGAATAGCGGCAGCCTCCTTCAGACGCTCATTGTGCCGTTCTTGTTCAAGTCTCTCTATCTCATCTCGCTCCTGCTTGCTGCGACGACCAACGGCCTTCGGTTTGTGTTTCAAGACTGGTTTGGGCGGCTCACCACCAAGCACCGACGGGGGCCGACTGCTGGGTGCAATGCTACCGGAAGGTGTACGTTTGTTCAGTGATTGAAGCCGTTGCACGGAGGCTCGACTCGCAGGACCGGGCGCGCCGGCTGCCGCGGGAGCATTTTGCCCAGTGCCCCCGCCAGCGGGAGCCGGAGTAGTCGTGTCAGTTCGAGCACCACGGTTGGCGGCCCCTCCACGGGCGCTTCCACGAGGGGCGACTTTGGGAGGCATTGTCGTCGTTTTTCAGACAAGGCGCTGAATGCGGCGTGCTGGGCGGTGGGAGAAAAGTTCGTGTCGAGGGGCTGGTTTGCGCACCGCGTTATGTGCAGACCCTGCGTTGGAATAACTAGATTCTGTATCCAGTAACACACGGCAATGCGCCTGGAAATAAGCAAAGCGCCGTTTCCTAAAAGAAATGCGAGCGTTTTGAGGTTCGAGAAAGTTGAGCTCTTCAAAAAAGTCGCGGGGCCAATCATACCGCCCTTATCAGGTGACTTATCCCGCCATGCTGCCCAGGTGATCGACATTATACTCTCTGGCTATTTAGGTATGTAGGCCGCGACGAACTCAACGGAATCTTGGAAGATGAAGTGCAGGATAAAAAAGTGAAACCTTCCATCGACTCCCTGACTACCCAAAAGACGAATTAAAGCAAGATCGGAACTATCTTCTACGACGTCACGCTTTGACCTAGCCCTCACTCGGAAGTATATAATATTTCCGCTACTAGTCGACCGTACACCACACACATGAAACCGACATAGACAATGATAAATAACCCAGTAGCATTGATTCCGAATGAGCGAGTGGATGTGACAAGAAGCATATAGCCCGCAGAAACACTAAGACGCCGAAGGGACACAACAACAACAACAGATCAACCGCTTGGCAGTGTATAATGGAGGGAGCATGGCTTGTAACCAGAGAAGGGAATGTGGAGTGAGAAGGGCAAATGATGGTAGTATGCTAGTATAAGGACTGTCTCTGGCGCCGGCCAGAAAAAGGCGAAATGAGAGAGTGAGGGCGGATGAGATTGGCCCATAGTGAGGATGGTAAGATGAACGAGAGATCCCATGGTAACGAAGAAAATCGGAGGTGCGAAGCAATTCGGCGCATAGAGATAGCGGGAGCAATCGCAACCTGCAGCTCCACTAGCGCTTTCGCTTCTTATTCTTGTCTACTATAGACGAAGAGATAGAAGGGGTCGCAGGCGTTAATGAAAACTCCTCGTCTTCGTCCATCTCTTCCCCATTCTTCTTCACGGGGACACCCATATGGCGACCGTAACGCCCTTTGCGACCGTTGCCCTCATCCTCACTGAGACAGCCGTCAATTCCAATGCCTGCGTCCTTGCAACGTCCACAGGGGCGCTGACGGTCACAGCCCTTCTTGCTCTTGCGGCACCGCTGGCAGCGAGGCTTGGTAGAAAGGTCTTCCTCATCCGCACCGAGCTGGTGCTGAAAGTTGACCGAGCCCCCCGAGACCTTCCGGGAAGACGCCGGGCTGAGAGGCGGAACAGGCGCAGCTGACTTGTCGGATGATCTGCGGGGAGCGGGCATAGCGGTCTTACTTTTGTTCACCTTCGCAGGTGCAGGCTTCTGGCTGCGAACCTTGAAAGATGTGGGGCGGTTCTTCGGCTTCTTTGCCTTGGGTACAAACTCCTTGTAAAGGATATCCTCCTCAGCTTCACTCTTGATACCATCATCTGCACCATCCGAGCTGTGATCGCTGCTATCGGCGCTGGGAAGGATGTCATCCAAGCCCTTGAGATGGCGCTTGATGGTTCCTGGCGGCAGCATTGGGCTTGAGTCCAACCTCTGGCGACGAGCTGGCAAGTCATCCTCGTCCTCGCTAAAGTCTTCCCCATCGCTGGTAGCACCAGTGGACGAGGCAGCGTCAGCGGCACCACTGAAGGCATCGTCCAATGTGGAGGCAGAGGTGCGTCCATGAGAGAAATTGGACGCATCGCCTAAACGTATCAATTGCATCGCCACATCCTCATCGGAGATGCAGCTTGCGATAGTGGGGTCAGGCGTGGGCAATACGCCTGGACCGCTCACTCGGCTAGCCGAGTTGTTATAGGCTCCCGTGTCGCGCATGCGATTTCCATGGTCCGGAACCATAGGAGTCGCATAAATCGGATTGCGCCCCGACTGACCATATTCGCTGTGACCATAGCTTTGTGGCGATGGAAGCGCATGCTGATAGCTATACGGGCGTTGCGGCGGGCGTGCGAAAGGCGACCCAGCGCCTTCCTGACCAATTGATCGACGTTGGGGAGAGATGGAGGAGGTTGAGGTAGTGAGGGGCACTTGGGGAGGAACGAACAGTGGGAGCTCCTAAGGGGAACAGATTGATTAGTGCCAGTCGTTAATAGCAGAAAAGTCCTCGTCACTCACAGAGCTATCGAACTTGGGTCGTTTCCGACGACCATCTTGTAGTATATTCTCCATGCTGATATCAGAGCTAGCAAAGAGTTCGTTGCGAGCCCTGCGAGAATAAGCGCTCTCGGTATCGCTATAGTCATCATCATCATGGAAACCTCCATGGGTGCTTGAGGCCCGGCTTTTGTTACCCGCACAGGAGGGAGGCTTGTGCTGAGAAGCGCTGCGGAGACTCCGGTTCGACGGAGAGGCGCTGCGCTTTCTTGCAAGCCGAGAGGCCGGCCCTGATGGCTGATCCAACGGCGCCGTTCCATCTACCATCTGGAAAGGCTCTGCCAGACTGGGCCGCTTGCGAGGCTCGACATTGAAGCCGTTATAGAAGTGATCCCCATAGGGCTGAATGGGAATGACTCGCACGTATACGGTCCTATTGTTCTTGAGATTCTCGTACCTTGCGATGAGGGTGGTCCCGTGTTCATCTTCGAAGCTGACCCCACTGGCAGTACCGTCATATATTCCATAGAAATTTTTGACCGTTGTGACGATCGAGTCTGTGGTGTCATGAGGATAGATTTGAACGCGCATCGGAATACGAGCTCGGACTTTGGAGTTCTCATCGAGAAGCAACTCAAATGCGACGTTCTTGGGTGCTGGGCCTTTAAGCGACAGGTCTCGAGCTACAGTGGCAGAGTCTGCCAGACCCGGCTGCTCGACCAGGCCAGAAAGCCCTTCATGCTGAACCGCTTGCATATCAAAGTGTTCCAAATTGAGGAATACTCCACTGCTATACCAAAGACTGCATCAACCCACTGCTTGTGTGCCGTAGAGGGCGGGAATGTGGTCCATGGCAAGACACAGAGGAAGGGCAGGTGTAGAGGGAAGAATCCATCAAACCTACCACAATTGTTGAATTCGAAATATCAGGCCGGTGGATGGACCACCCCGGGTCTTTATGTATAGAAACTATTGAAGCAAAACTTTCGATGGAGGTGGGAGGGGAATCTGCAGTCGCAAGAGCCGGCAGCGACTCAAAAGGGTAAACGTGGGCAACCTAAAGGAAAACAGACGACACAAGTTAGCACAATGGGATCCCAAGTGCTCTAATATACAATAAGGATGGGTTTTGTCTTGGAAGATGATAGACGAATGTGTCGCTAACCGAGTCCGGCCGACCTTGGGAGCGGGCTTGGGGGGAAGCAAGCGAGATGACCCGGAAAAGAATGGAGAGAGACTTGAACACACCTAATTCAACTCAAACAGAGTCCTCCAGTATCGCAGATATCTGGACTGTTCAAGACAGGGCGAAGGGGCGAAGGATGGGTTCGGTCGAGGTCGAGAGGGGATTGTCGATTCTACGAAGCGCTGAGGCTATGTCAGCGTTAGCATCTCCAGGATTGAAACGGGGTCAGGGGAGTGAAAAGTGAGATTGAACAAGAGTAGAGATACATACCCTATACTTTTGACAACACTGATGGCGATTTGTTCGAAGGGTTGTTGGATGGAAGGAAGAAGGTTGAGGTGGGTGCGTACGATGGTTTCACTTAAAGCGAGAAAACGGCCTGCCTGGGTCGGTGACATGGCGATTTGCGCTTCCGGCGCCCATCGAAGCAGTCATCACATTCCATGGCATTAACGGATCTATATAAAATCTTCATTTGATTTGCAACTATTCTATGCATCCAAAAAAATAACTATGTGTGAAGCCATCCTAATGCTGTATCTTTTCGCAAAGGCGCAAAAGCTGTCGCAAGCCGGGTGCCATTGCGCCGAGTGACGGAGCACTCTGTCTAACCCTCCTTTTTGCATATGATGTACGAAATTGAGAATATAATCCGACATTTGAATCTTCAGGGATGAAGTATAAGCGAGTGTGGGCTACTTAGGACTGTTGGGGGGGGAGGATGCAGCACTTGACACAAAGCAGGTATCTTAGGTACCTCTGTCGCCACAAGTATCGAGGGTATCGAGGTCTCAGGGCGCAAAACAGGATAAAGAAACAGCGACCAATAGATTTATGGGCTTGCAGCTAGTTTCGAGCTTGACCACGTAGCAACCCATACCCTTTTTTTGGTCTGTTGTGGAGGTGTGCGCTTGGACAGAATTGACATTATCCAGTCATTTTCCCACCACCACCTTTGTCGCATTGCTCATTTACTATGCGGGTTGGAAAATACCAGATATCGCGACACTTATAGTGTGGTTTAATATCAAAATCGCTACGGTATGGGTGATTGATAGACGTTCTGTTGGTCTGCCTCTAGGACCGGACTTTGATATTTATACTCAACCGAAAGGATATCGAGAGAACCAAACAGTCTCAATACCCGAGATAACCACTTTCACAATATCGCATGACTCTCTGGAGTTGTCTCGCATGATCTGCAACTTGGATTTACCCCTCCTCGGACCTACGTAAGAAGGTTAAAAAGGGAATCCCGCGTCGGGGTTACAGAGCATTCCTTTCTCCTTGGAACCTGGCTACAAAAGTGAGGTCGGAATATAGCAAATTCGTGATGCCACAGTTTTATTGATTTCTCAAGAAAATAGCGGATGAAAAGTTGGGAACATTTTTGCTTGGTGGAGTCAGGCGGTGATGCTGAGAGACTGGGCGCAAAAGGTCCTTTGGATATGAATTGATGATGATCATCGGATCCGAGAACGTGGGTACGAACGTAGGTATTGTCTATAATTTACTCCGAAACTTCCAATTCCCTCTGATCTGAAGCCCCGCAACACATGGCGAGACTAGAAAAGCCAACGACCGCCGCAATGATAGAAGTGGGTTTCGGTTGATCGCAAAGCTGCCAAACAGGAACCGCTTGATTCCGGGTGTCCCACCTCTTGTGACGGCGGTGTGGCTCTCACGTGGTCTCGTGTAGATAGCGCGTCAGATCTAGATCATGTCATAAAAGGGCGACTGCACTCGCACATATAGATATTTTTGAGATAACATTGTCGGGAATTATGTATTACTATTGAATATACCTGCAGATAACTTTTTGTATCCTTCCGCTTAGTTTTGGACGTTTCTTAATTGAAAATGGTGTTCAATGGTCGTCGAAGGAGACGCGCCGATAAGGTTAATGACGTCAAATATCCAACAAACAGTGCAAACTGTATACAAACGGAACAGACACTTGACACCTTATCAACATCCGGAGTCCCGACCTTGGGGAAGTTCCAACCTTGAACTTTGGAAGGTTGATATCAATTCATCAAGTTACATATGTACGTACGCATGTGTTAGCAGGACCCTGAGTAACTACCTAGGTACGTCTCACTACAAGGACCGCACCATCTACTGCTCTACTCCCATCCTTATAGAAACTAAGATCTTGCGATGCTGGTTGTGCTTGCTGTTTTCCGTTCTAACCACCCATACTCCAAGCCACACTTATACACGGGATTTATCTTCCAGCCACAGCGTGTCCCTCGAAGCTCAATAGCCAGGCCCCGCAGGAAACGTCGTGCAGAGTCTCGGCGAAGCCTAATTGCGTGGGACACCGGGCGCACCGCAGCAGACCACGCTCGAAGCTGCCTCAAAGCTGACAACCCGGCCGTGGTACCGTCTACTAGCCACACAGGCAAGCCAATTACCCTTCTCGCCAGCCAACATGCCATCCAAAACCCCTGTCCCGTGGGACTTCCCCTCCAAACTCACCGCCACTGTCACCCTCCCCACTCCCCCCAATGCCACCCCCTCGTCCACTCCCACGCCAAACATCCTCCTCCTGCTGTACGGCATCGGTGACACCGCCGCCGGCTTCTCTGCCTTCGGCCGGGCGATAAACCTCTCCGAAACCACTGTCGTGACCGTCCAAGCCCCCGCCCCGCTCCCCTTCGACCTGGGCGGGTTCCACTGGGGCGACGACGTCGCCTTCGACAGCACCACCGGCGCGCTCGACATGGACGCCGGCCTGACGCGCAGCACCGCCCTCGCAGACCTCGTGCGGGGCACACTCATCCGGAAATGCGGCTAAAGACCGCGCGAGATCCTCCTCTTGGGCTTCGGCCAGGGCGGCATGGCCGCGCTGGCCGCGGCGCGGAAGCTAGGTGCCCACAGAGGCAGCGGGGAGGAGCCGCTAGGCAGGGTGATCTCCATCGGGGCGGCGTTTGCACTGTCGGGCACGCGGTCGGGCGCGAAGAACCGCGCGCCGGTGTTGCTGGTGGCGGGGCGGGATTCGAGTACGGTGTCGGAGGGGGCGGTACGGCGGACGAAGGAGGTGTTTGAGTTTGTGGAGATTAGTCGGTATGCGCGTCGTGGAGATGGGATGCCGTCGAGTCGGGAGGAGATGCTGCCGGTGATGCAGTTCCTGGCTCGGCGGTTGCGCAGTCGGCAGGGTGTGCCGGAGGGGAGCGCTGAGATTGGCTGATGTGTGATCCGTTGAAGGGGTGGATAAGTCCCTTGTGTATATTATATAAATCTATGGATCTGTATGACTATAGATTGATGGAATCAATGGTATTCTATATCTCATGGATGGCTATATAGCCTTCCGGTAGAGACAATATACAAGGGACGAATACACTATCGCTGTCGCAAACATCAAAGGGGGACTTGGAGAAGCCTGACTCTTGTGAGCGGGGCTACTGCAAGGAGAGATTCTATATGGTGACTAGCAGTATGAAACAATTATTCCAGGCGGCACTACGGAACTCAACACCGAGAAAAACTTCAAGGAGTGTGGATGGACATACAAGTGTGTTTACTACTTAGTGGGCAAAAATATGGCTTTTATAGCCTACTCTAGCCTACAACAGTTATCTTGCTGCAAGTACTGTGATCGAGCTAAAAATATGTTTTTCTTTTCTTTTTCTTTTCTTTTCTTTTTTTTCTTTGCGAATAAACCGGTCGTTTTGGTTTAGACTAATTAGTTTGACCGTCCTTGGTGATGGATTCGAGGTGGCCGCCCAGTCTTGATCAGATGTCTATAAAGGTCGTGCGATAGACGACATACATAGCCCCACGGCTAACCTCCAGTCATTCTAACCTGCGTTTGGAAGAATCTAGGAATCCAATCGTTCCGACCCTTTGACTGTCTTGGCCCTTTTGTTGAATCGCTTGCTTCTCTCTTGCGAAGTCTCCGGTGGAAACTCGGATGATGGCCACAGTTCACCCCAAGATGCGGCAGGCAATGTACTATGTTGTACATGTATGTATATGGTCCTGGGCAGGAGCAGTTTGCACAACGGGAAGGCGTGCGCGACCGTAGCTTCCGATTTAGGAATAGCGTGCATTGTTGACATCTTCAGGAACAAGGGACGCACCCTCCCTTCATCGTAGGCATTCTCTCATTCATCTGTGTTCCTAACACTGCCAGTCCTCTAGGTTTGCAAGGTTGCCTGTTCCTACCTAGGCAACGTCCAACGTCCGAGTGACGCCCAAGTGACGAGCTGCGATAAATTAGGAAGGAACGACTTGGGTGGATACCAAGACTGTTTATTTTGCTTGGGTCGACGAATCACACCGGGCAACTCCATCCCCCCAACTGAGCAAAAAGTAAACAACAACCTCTTTGCCCAACCTCAAGATAGACTTGAACAACACGTCCTCCAAGGTTGCAGCTTCGTCGCTCGTCATCATGGATGCAAAGGTAAGCTAATCTTGCGTTAATGTTCTCGTTTGTGCCAATCCTTTTACTCCTACGCGTGTCATCGCGTCAATTGCCGCATTCAACATCGCATCATCATCATCATGTATGCCCACTCTTGTCCTAGAGTTGCTTCCTTAACCAAATTGGAGACACCTAGGCTAACTGAAATGACAGCCACAGCGCTTCCGAGTCATTGGGGATGAGAATGTGCCCCCTTCGTCCCTGCATCAGAACCATAAGGTCATCCACCAACGGAACAAGTCAAGCCCTGCTCTCAGTATGATGGCCCAGAACAATGCTGGCCGACGTGCATTTGTCGATGTTAGCAACACCAAGGATATGAGCCGGGCTCGGGATGACTCTGGCGTTGGTGGAAAGCCTGCCCTAGCTGAGGTTAAGGCTCCTGGGCTGTCCCAGCCAGCCCAGCGCCGCATGACCTTGTCAGGAACCAGGGGCCTTGTTGAAGGCGTTGCCACAACGAAGCCTATGAACCCCGCCGGTAAAGCTCAACAACCGGCGTATAAATCGAAGCGGAACAACGCCGTATTCAAGGACCAATTGCACACTGTCCCCGAGAAAGACACATCCAAGGAAATCAACACAGAGACGGAGGCCAAGGCCAGCTACAAAGGAGCGGACAAAGGGCGCCACTCTAACACTATTGTGATGCAGCCTTCAAATGGGCTGAGTGTCGACATCGCCAGCCTGGTCGAGTCTGATGCCACCGTATCCGAGACCGAAGATCTCAAAGAGCACGCGTATGTCAAGGGAACCGTGTCGGCGGTATCAGAGCCCGAGGAATGGGACGGGGATGATACCGAATACCATGTTGCACCCATCTACTCCTCTCGTGGGGACGCCGACGGAACCACTACCGTCATTTATCCATGCATGAGCAATGTCACCACTGGTGAGATGTTCCGGGCGAAAGACATTGTAGAGAGCGAACAATCACCGGAAGACATTGAGGAGGAACTGTTGGATACGACCATGGTTGCGGAGTATAGCGACGAGATCTTCCTTCATTTAAGGAAGAAAGAGGTATGTCTTACTATTTCGATGTGGTAACCAGCTTGAACTAACCAAGTCTGTAGATCGAGATGCTTCCGGTCCCCGATTACATGGCCCGCCAAAGCGAACTCCAGTGGTCGATGCGCTCGGTTCTGATGGACTGGCTTGTTCAAGTTCACCAGCGCTTCAACTTGCTCCCTGAAACCCTGTTCCTCACGGTGAACTACATCGACCGTTTCTTATCGTACAAGGTGGTTTCCATGGGCAAGTTGCAGCTTGTTGGTGCGACCGCGATCTTCATTGCTGCAAAGTTCGAGGAGATCACAGCGCCATCTGTGCAAGAGATCGTTTATATGGTTGACAGTGGATATTCCGTCGACGAGATTCTGAAGGCAGAGCGGTTCATGCTCACCATCCTCGACTTTGATCTTGGATGGCCCGGCCCTATGAGTTTCCTTCGTCGCATTAGCAAGGCTGATGAATATGACCTTGAAACTCGTACTGTTGCCAAGTACTTCCTTGAGCTGGCTATTATGGATGAGCGCTTTGTCTGCACTCCCCCCAGCTTTATTGCTGCCGGGGCCCATTGCCTGTCTCGCATGCTCCTTAACAAGGGGAACTGGGTATGTTTTCCTCTCCAACTCACTGCATTATAATATTTCTAACGTTAAATAGACACCGGCACACGCCTTCTACAGCGGTTACCTTTACTCCCAGCTGATTCCGGTACTAAGCACATTGATGGAATGCTGCGAGAATCCTCGCCGCCATCACGCTGCCATCTTTGAAAAGTATTCGGACCGTCGTTTTAAGCGCGCCTCGATGTTTGTTGAAGCTGAGCTCGCCACAGACTTCGTTTTGCCCGAGCCCTCTGATCTCAATGATCCAGATCGCTTGGACGGCTATGCAAACTACTAATCCTTTGCCTGAAACTAATACCCGGTGATTTGCAGACACCATGCAAAGCTGGCTTTCATAATTGCTGGTACTCACCATCATCCACGATCTCTGAACTTATTTCTCGTTTTTCTTTTCGGTCAACATGGGCGTTCTTTTTTTCTTTCGGAGTGAACTGGCGAATCGGTTCCTTTGTGCATGGCGTTTGCGCGTTGTTCCCGTCTTTTGCACCACTTTCATTCTGTCATTTGTTTTCTTCATGCTTTTGATTTCTTCCCAGCTCTACTGGGCTGACGACGAGATGACTTGACGCCACCATTTTCCGAACATGAGAGTAGATGATCGGAAGGCGTTGACGATGACCTGTTTCTCGCCGGGCGTTCCGACTGCCTTTTTTTTTCTTTTTGTCTTGTTCTGGGGAAGGGCTGAGTGGTGGTAACTGGGTTAACCTCGATACGCTCTCTATCTACACAAGTCACCTGACTGGCTCTCGCGCCAACCTCCCCAGGGCTGTATGTTGTACTGTGCTAGTAATAGTCGAATATGACGTCATATTTCTATAACTACATTTGGAACCTACCTACATATATGTAGGTGGTCGGTGTCTACTGTCATGGTATCCAGTCTCGTTGGGATTATTCCCTTCGTCTTGAGTATATCTTTCAAAGGAGGGACACTACGCATACCTACATGTAGGTATATTACTAACCTCTTGCCGCAATATACTGTAATTGTAAACCTTCCAACTTTGGAAACTCCTATAATCATTACTAAACAAGGGGTGTATACCTATGTAGGTAGGCGGCTCTTCTATGTATAACCAGGATTGTCTCTCGTATATCCTTTCGATTGATTTCCCGTCTAAGATGATATATTTTCAACCAAAACACCCGTCTATGCAGATCACTGGTCAAGCCCATTAAAGTCAATCAACTTCTTGACAGCCTCAATCACTCTATCAGCGAGACTGCTGCCATCGGATACAACCGAAGGATTATCAAACCGCTCCGTGAGAGCCTCATCTAGCATGGTGCGAAGCCGCGAAACAAGCACGCCGATCCGGGCCCAGCCGCGTAGACGGAGCCAGCCGTCTACGACTAGTCCGCGACCCACGGTGTCGAGTTCTATAGAGCCGCAGAAAAGAAGCAGGGAGTACGCGTTGAAAGCTGCAAGTAAGAAAAAGAAAAATGTTAGAAGCTAATATCTTGAGGGATAGAAGAGGAATAACTCACGGGTTAGATCGCGGATGAAGACCTTGCTGGTAGCCATCTTTGTGAAGTAGCTGAGATATGCCGCGGAACTGGGATAGCCAGCCGCAGAGAAGAGGATGGAGCTGGGATGAATGAAGACACGGCCGTTTTCCTGATTGAAGTACTTGATAGTGCGAGCATCCGGGTCCACCTCGACGGTACCAGTAACCGAGCTGGCAAACTTCTTATCCGGAAATGAGATCTGGGCGACCTGCGGCTGGAACGCTC